ATATATATATATATATATATATATATATATATATATAGCGTATGCACTCATTGCAACAATGGACAAGGTGTGGCATTTATTTATATCAAATGGCAGGCGTTTTGATAGTTATCAAGAGGGGAAGGAACATCAAAGAGAAAAAAGTCGAGAAGGGGTGGGAAGAGAAGAGTGTTTCAAAGATGTAAAAGAGACAGACACAAAGGTTGAAAAAATGTGGGGTGAGAACAATGGAAGTAGTCGAATATGACATACAGTGGAGTGATGGTAGTTTGAGGCAGAAGTCAACTGCCAGTTAATAGACTTTTTTTGCCGTATGGTTGCTCAGTGCACCACATTTTTGCTGTATGAGTATACGTTGCCCAGGGTGCACCCGGACTCTTTTGCCGTGTATACGTTGCCCAGGGTGCACCAGTTTGTTTGCCGTATGAGTATACGTTGCCCAGGGTGCACCACGTGATAGACTTTTTTTGCCGTATGAGTATACGTTGCCCAGAGTGCACCACGTGGTGATCAGTCTTTCGCACACAGTGTGGAAAATCTGCACAAATTTGAGAGTCGTATTTGCTTGAAGGCATCAAGATTTGATCTAGTCATGAAATCCTTCCGAGTTTCTTCCGACTTCTGTACACAGCCCTCATAGATGATGCTGATTGGACGTGTAGTCAATCCTTCTTTGAATGGCCACATTTCATTCGATCTTTTCATAATAAGCTGAGATTGCTACAATTTTCCAACAAAGAAAAAAATTCTTTTTGGTCAACGTCGGCTTCCACCTATTGGATGGGCAACTAAGTCATTGCCGTTTTTGTTGACAGATTCACTCTATACTTTCTTTTGTTTTGTTAACGTAGCCAGAGCATCTAACCTATATTTTTTTCTTACTGTATGGGCTTCTAGGTTAATTAGTAAAAAATTTTTTGTTTAGTTCTTTAGTTTTGTTTTTATCCCAATTTAAAAACGAAAGAACAGGACGTGCACTTCCGACACATTTTATTGTATTACTTCCGAAAAGGCAAGAACGCATCGCAAGCACAAAAGAAGTTATGTGCCGTATATGGAGATGAAGCCTTAAAAGAAAGGCAGTGTCGAAATTGGTTTGAAAGATTTCGTTCCGGTGATTTTTCACTGCAAAATTCACAACGATCTGGCCGCCCAGTCGAAGTGGATGAAACCTATATCAAGGAGATTATCGATTCAAGTCGTCACAGCACAACACGAGATATTGCAGAGAAGTTCAATGTGTCGCATACATGCATTGAAAAAAAATGAAAAACCCTTGGTTTTGTCAAGAAACTTGATTTATGGATCCCTCACCAGTTAAAGGAAATTCATTTGACGCAACGGATTAGCATCTGTGATTCGCTACTGAAACGCAATGAGAATGATCCATTTCTGAAGAACCTAGTTACTGGCGACGAAAAGTGGATAGTTTATAACAATGTTACTCGCAAGAGATCATGGGTGAAGCAAGATCAACTAGCTCAAACAGTATCAAAAGCAGAGATTCACCAAAAAAAGATTATGCTGTCAGTCTGGTGGGATCACAAAGGAATTTTGTATTTTGAACTCATGCCGCAGAACCAAACGATAAATTCAAATGTGTATGTTGAAGAACTCGAAAAACTGAAGGATGCAATTGAAGATAAGCGGCAGGCATTATCAAATCGGCGGAAGGGTGTTGTTTTCCATCATGATAACGCAAGGCCCCACACATCTTTGGTTACTCGGCAAAAATTATTGGAACTGGGTTGGGATGTTTTGTCACACACACCATATAGCCCTGACCTTGCGCCTTCGGATTACCATTTGTTTCGTTCCATGCAAAACTCTTTAAATGGTAAAATTTGTAACAACGCGGATGATGTCGGATCACACCTAATTCAGTTTTTCAATAGCAAAGACCAGACATTTTACGAACGGGGAATTTTTACTCTGCCAGAACGATGGAAAAAGGCCAATATCTAATTGAACAAAGTTATATTTTTAAACAAAAATTCCCAACTTGCCTTCTTATTTGAAATCGGCAATGACTTAGTTGCCAACCTAATATATATTAAAAAGATAAACATTTCATTCCAAAAAATATGTTTGCTTATTTACATGTGCGCATCCTGAAAGTGCAAATTGTGTGGGACACAAACAATTGGTCATCTCTCATGTCATCTAGCTGGCTTAGACATGTGGGACACGTTATCGCTGTGTGCACATATCTACCTTGTGGGACACGTTATCGCTGTGTGCGTCATCTTATGCTTGCATGTCTGCTCGCCAGGATTGGGAGGTGCGGCAACTCTGTGTGCAGCGACCGTACAAACAGTGGCCAATCACTAGAACCTCGGGACAAGCCTTGTGGGACACGTCATCGCATGCCTGCACGCCAGGACTGGGAGATGCCAGGATTGGGAGGTGCGGCCGTACAACTTTGTGTGCAGTACCGTACAAACAGTGACCAATCATCAACCTCTGTTTAACCAAATCCCCCAGCCTGATCATTAGTAGCTCCCTGCGTGTACACGTGATCCGCAATGTACGTCCTGAATAAACGTGCTCCGTGCTACACATAATATGCTCACTGAATAGACGTGCTCCGTGCTACACGTCTGATTTCCTTTCATAGCTGGGCTATAGCTTAGCTGGTTCTGGGTTCTAGCTAGAGGTTGGAGAATCTGCCATAGAGATTTCTGATTCCTAGCTAGATGTTGGAGAATCTGCCATAGAAATTTCTGAGCCGGTAGCTAGATGTAGGAGAATCTGCCATAGAGATTTCTGAGTCAGTCAGGCTTTAATAAAGTAGCGATCCGCTAAAATTGTCACGTGTATTAATGCTGCGAATTGAATTCAAAATTTGTCGAAATATAGATTGCTTTTAAGGGTAAATTCTAATGGTCTTTATTCCTATTGAATGAGTCCTGTAATTGCCGTTTAACGGCAACCCATGAATAAATATCCCCCTTGTGAATAAAATGAGATTCCTCCTGCCTATTTTGAGCCAGGAAAAAAAAGAATCAAATTTAAAAATATCTAGATCTCAAGACGAAAAGAAGTAATCAAGAACTATTCTCAACTTTTAGACATCTAAATCAAGAAACTTCCGTGGTTTTGCTTTTTCAAAATATTTTCGAAACGAAACTCGCACTAAATTTGAAGTTGGTGTTAAGGAAGAAATTCCATTGTACGATGTTTTAACCAAAAAAATGATTGGTGTTCATTTGGATTAATTAAAATTAATTAAAGCTTTAATTAATACTTAAGAAAATTATTATTCAAAATAATTGATTGAAAGTGGACAATTTTTGTAGCAACGATCATGTTCCCCTTGAATAAAAGTCGATCTAAATTCTCTGAGTCAGTCAGGGTAGTTATTTTTCTAAATTTTTTTAATCAAATAATTCAATAGAAAAAAATTAAAATAAGCGTTGTACTTTTAGGTTAGGCATAAGGCGATTATTTGAGAAATTGTGGTCAGTATTCATAGTTACCTTGAAAAGTGATAGTTTCTTGTTAAATATTATTTTTTGATACAATTTCACATCTCTTTGCTGGTACTTTATTTACATTCTCAAGTTTGAATAATTTTTTCCCAATTTTTCTGCAAATTTTACTTATCTCATCTTTTGTTTTTACTCTTCGCGGTATTTGTTTGATCTTCTGAATGACCCTCACCCATCGCCTCGCCGTAAGTTGGCGGATGTCTTAAGCTGTCATAGTCGGGGAGCAAATGTTCTCCAGGTAGCACAAATCCCTCGGGGGGTTGAAGCTCCTGCATTCCAGACTGCTCCAAGGAGGGAAGTATGAAGTCCGATTCCACTTCTCGGATGTTACTCCAAGGCAATCCACGCTTAGCCAGCACAAAGATAGCTGAGTAAACCGAGAGTGCAAGGATTGTGAGGCAAATCCAATAAGACGGTATTTGTCTATTTTCATCGTGAACAGTTGTCAACGCGACAATAGCGCATGCAAGTATGGTAAATGCATTTGAGATAAGAAGGAAAACCAGTGTCCAATGGGTGGGATAAGCGGCAACACAAAACATGGCCAAAGCTGAGATGGCAGCCAGAGCTCCATTCCAGTAGCCTATTCGTAGAGGTGTCCCCGATGCCAGCTCAAAGGCGAGAAGAATAGCGGTTAGAATTAGGAAGACTAGTCCAAGGATGAAATAGTTAATGACGAGTCCTAAACAATGACGGCAACGTGGTGTACGGTCGTCTGCGGTTGGAGTCGGAACTCTTCGACAGCGAATGGCGAGAAAGTCGTCACAAACAAGACAACAAACTGGTGTGCGCATGGTATGAAAAGTTTAATAACTAAAGGGAATTTTAAGGATCGATTCGTACTTTACATCAAATAGGTCATTCCAATAGTAGGATTTTTTTAATAGTGCATATTATCCAGCGCCGTATAAATATAGAATTCGAGCACTGAATTCGGAGAAGCTTATTTTAGATTTGAAAGTGAGTCTAAATTTAAATTTTAAGATCCCTGTCTATTTATTAATTTTATATTATTTATTTATGTTACTCTAATCTGAATAATAAAAACCAATCACTTCCATTTCTAAAGTTAATGGAAATGGCTTTTTGTTATTTCAATGACATTGTTATTTGATAAGTGGAAAATCTGCATTATAATGGTTTATCAGTTCTCTTATACTGAACCTTTGTTCAATCCTCCAGGGATTAATTATGAAATTAATGGAAGGTGGAAACAAACCTCTCCGACTTAGTATAGACAAAAATGAATGAAAAGATGGAAAAATGGTAACATTAATTATTCGTTTGTGAAGACCAATCTCAAGAAAAGGCAATAATAGGACTGGCTTTGATTGGTTGTATCAAAAAAGAAACCATTTGAGGCGTTTCGAGTTCAATACGCCGATGTTATTTTAATTTTAAGTCGATTATTTTAAAAATAGTCTAGTCTATTTAATTTATCTATCACTTTAATGTTAAATCACTTCACAATAAAAATTCCCTTCGTTCAATTTTCATTTCATGTACTTGTGATAAGTTTACAACAGCGTGGCCAATACCTGAGTCAGTTTGATGAGACAGAAACGATAACGCAGTCAATTTTTACCACAAATTATGCCCCATCAAATTGACGTCATGTAGTTGCGCAGACGAACATTTGCCTTATCGTCGGGAGTAGGCGCGTAAATGCCTAGCCATTTCGTTATCCCTCCAACTTCCCTATTCAAATGTCTCTATCTAACACCAGTATCCTTCCCCCCCCCCTCCTAAGAGGGAAGACAATCTTCTCTATTAATAAGATCGCCCACACAATTATTTCGGTTAATTTCAAATTGAAAACTAATTAATTGTAGTGGACACTGCACAAGTGAACTTGACTAGACCTTGGTAAACCTTTATTACAAAATAACTCTGCATGAAATCGATCCCGAAATTAGCTGATTCATTTCAACAACATCGACATTATAGAGTATATGGAGTGAAGAGAGCTAAGTATATATTACATTAGACACACTGGGGTGCGCGATAGACTTACCTCCACATGGTGCACACTGGACAACGTATACTCATACGGCAAATGTGGTGCACCCTGGGCAACGTATACTCATAAGGCAAAAAGATCCCTATTAACCGGCAGTTGACTTCTGACTTCAAACTACCATACTATTAACTGGCAGTTGACTTCTCACTTCAAACTACCATCAATTAACTGGCAGTTGACTTCTCACTTCAAACTACCATCAACCCTACTGGCAGTTGACTTCTCACTTCAAACTACCATCACCCCTCACTGGCAGTTGCTTTCTGACTTCAAACTACCATCACCCCACCGTAAACCGGCAGTTGACTTCTGACTTCAAACTACTATGGTCCGACTATAGTTGACTTCTGACTTCAAACTATCATCACCCCACTGCACTGGTCCATATTCGACTACTTCCACAGTACTCACCTCATCTTTTTCACTCTACCTTTGTGTCTCCATATTCGACTACTTCCACAGTACTCACCTCACCTTTTTATATTCGACTACTTTCACAGTACTCACCTCACCTTTTTCTACCTTTGTGTCTGTCTCTTTTACAACTTTGAACCACTTTTGTGCCCTCCCCCTCTCGACTATTTTTCACATTGATGACCCTTCCCCTCTGTGAAGTCTGACGTCAGCTAAAGGTCTAATGATAACTATCAAAACGCCTGCCATCTGATATAAATAAATATTAGTCAAACTACTCACATGCGATCGATATAATTTACCGCTGCACAAGCTCGATTGCTGATTGGGTGAGAGGTTTCTGCACGCATGACCTCACCAGTTGACTGGCATCATAAAACATTAAATGATTATTAAAGAAAAGGAAATAATTCACAAACATATTAAGGAAACCCTTTTTCAGTGCTCGTCTTGTCTTGACCTAATTTATCTTTTGTGGAATCTCGATTTCTTCCAGTGCATTTAGAGAGAGAGAGGCTTGAAATGACTTCACAGCTGGCAATTGCATTTTTAATGATAAGATTAATTAAGTCAATTACTCATTGAAATATTTCCTCTTGAACGCGAATAGCACAGACGAAATGGCATTGAAGATACATGAATGAAACACAATTTTCATTATTTTTGTAATGAAAAGGTAATAGTCACTTAGATGTTTAAAATCAATACAATTCCTAATGCACTCAAATCGAAATGTGAAAAATCGAAGTCAGTGGACAGTGGCAATAAATTCTGGTGCAGGAGGATTATCTGAAAAATTAAACAAGAATTATCAACTCTAAAAATGTCTAGTTCATTTGAAAAATTCATTCAGACAGGCATTACCTCTATACTTTATAGTTCAAGAATTAAGCCTGTAGTATCCTAAAAACATCCTCATCTGTTGAATGGTCACGAGATTAATAAATGTTTATTGTGATCAGATGTCCGCACGTATTCCTTTTAGCTAAACTAACTTCCACGATGTTGTTACTTTCAATATTTAATGACCTCCAATAGGGGGTGTGCGATAGACTTACCTCCACGTGGTGCACCCTGGGCAAC